GCCCAGGAAAGACCTGAGCTCTCCAGCGAGACATTAGGGCAGCCCTTTCAGCACACTCCTTGCAGGAGGGACACAGCTCAAAGCCTGTGAGTGCCCAGATTCTCTGCTCGAGTTGATGCGCTCTGCAGTAGCAGCAGCAGGACCCCGATCCCCGCGGTGTATCTCCACTGTATCATATCATTTTTCCCAGTACTGGGAATTGAATGTGGGACCTTGCGCTTGCCAGGCAGGCGCTTATGCCACTGAGCTGTGTCCCCGGCCCTTATCATGTCATTTATAGGTCCAGTGACCATAAAAATCATTGAGCTTGCAAAAAAGCGGGGAAGTGAGTCGTGCGCGGGAAGGAACAGCCCGCTGATGCTCGTGCTCCTTAGGGTGACCCAGATGTGGCAGTTAGTAGTGGCTGTACTCAGGGCTCTCCAGGGAAGAAACAGGTCCAGGAGGGCATGCAGAGATATGGGAGAGGGAACCGGCTTATGCAACTGGGGAAGCCCGAAAGCCCTGGCTGCGCTGCCTGTGCGTGGGAGCCCCAGAGAGGTCAGTGGTGTGACTCAGCCTGAGTCCTCAGCCTGGGAACGCGGGACAGTGTCATAATGCCCCAGCCCAAGCGAGGCCAGAGGCCTGAGCTCAGGAGGGAACAGGGCTCGGGGTGCTGGTGGGAGGCCTGGAATCCCGGGGCCCAAGGACACGGCGTTCCGGTGTGCAGAACAGAAGACGGCCATCCCAGCCCCAGAAGAGAGAACAATGCACCTGCCCTCCCCCTGCCACTTTGCCTTCTGGGCCTGCTGGGCCGGACGTGGCCCAGCTATCCCAGAGAGTACATGCTCTGCCGCCCACTCCACCTGTTCCAACAGCCCCTTCGGCCACACTCACACACCACCAGAGCCAGCGCTGGGTGTCCCTTGGCCCCACTGGTTGACACAAAATGAGCCGTTACAGCAGATACAAATGCAGTCAAGGACCTAGAACAAAGTAGGATGGATGAACAGATGGGGAGACATAGCGGGGAAATACACATTATTTAAAAATCATCAGAGGAGGCTTAAGGGTGAAACACATGCTGTCTGAAATGAGCAATCGTGGGAGAGCCCCATCGAGATTTGAGGTGGCGGGAGGAGTCGTCGTGCAGCCTGACCGTGGCTCTGTGGGTGGTGAATGCTCTAAATAACAGAAGCAAAGTCAGAGACAATGCAGAGACCCTCAGCTGGGTGTGGAGGGGCACCCTCTCCTCCCAGCTTTCAGGGGGGCTGAGACAGGAAGATTACAAGTTCAAGACCAGCCTGGGCAGCTTGGTGAGCAAAACCCTGCTCAAAACAAAAAAAATAAGAGAAGGTCTAGGGACGTAGCCCGTTGGGAAGGTCCTGAGTTCAGCCTTCAGCCCTTAATATACCATAACACAAAGAAAATTCAGAACAGAGTCACCCATGCCAGCCAGGATCAACTAGTCTAAAAGAAATGTGTTTTGTGTTCTAGAAGAGTAAAGGATACAGAAAAAAGGGCCAAGAGCCCCTAAGACCACAGAACATGACCTAGAGAAGTCCGAGACCTAAGTAGGTGGAAGCGTGCGCCACGTTCACGGGGTGGGAGGTGGTTTTAGAAGTCAGTTCTGCACAAGTCACTAGTACGGTCGCTGCCTGTCACAAGTTCAGCAGACGGCTTTTCGGAAACTGATGAAATTCTAAAGTTTATGTGACAGTGCCGAGGGCCTTAAAATAGTGTGAACAGTCTCAGAACATGGCTAGAGCGTTTGTACCACCTGATCTCAAGACTTTGCAGAAGCGAAACTAGAACGGTGGTGTTTGCATATGGATCCGTCAGTAAGTGGATTGGTGGACTAGAATACTGTAGAGGGTTTCACAGATTCACGTGTGGTCAGTTGGATTTTGCCCGAGACATCCCAGAAGTCTAGTGCGAAAAGCAGTTTCTGACAAGTCACCCTGGAACACCTGGCTATTGCCGTGGGAAAAAGCGAGCCCCTACCTCACGCCACGCGCGCAGCTGATGTGAGGTGGAGCAGAGGCCCAAGGCCGGGCCCTGAAAGCGAACCGCTCTTAGAAGAAAATGCAAGAGAAAACTCCCCTGTGACTTCAAAGAAGGTGAAGTTTTTAAGCAAGATGGGATTTGTAGATAGAATTTAGGACAGTATGAAAGGAGATGTGGATAAACCGGACATCGTGAAACCATCAACAAATGCTCCCCGAAGCACACAAGACGGCTAGGGACGGCGCTAGGGACGGCCGGGGAGGGGAATGAAACGTGACGAAAGAGCGCCCAAGACCCTCCGAGGCAGAAATGAGCGGCTGGTTTCAGAGACAGACAGCAGTCTCGGTGGAACATTCATGAAGGAATCCGAGCGGCGAGTACGTGGAAGAAGTTCTGCATCACTGGCCTTCAGGAAGACGAAAAGCAGAAGCACAGCGGGGCTCTGCCATGTCCCCACGGTAGCTGAAAGGAACCAGCGTGACGGGGCAAAGGCGGCCCGGAGCCCCTGCAGCCTGCGCACCCTGTGGGCCGGGAGGCAGATGCTTCGGCCACTTGGGGAGTTGCCAGCCCCGCTCCTGGGTGATGCCGCTTCCGAAGGAAGTGAGAGTGTGTGTCCCCACGCGTGTGTCACGCATGCACACGTGGGCACACACATGGCGTGCAGGACTCGAGTGCTCATTCAGTGCCTTGACGTACAGTGATCCCTACTTGGTAGCAGCCAAAGTGACCGTCTAGGTGGAGAATGAAGCTCAGACTAGTCCTCCTCCAACACCCTGGTCCTCGGCAGGGTGGAGGAGCAGGCACGGGTCCAGGCAGCCGCACATTTAGGGTCTCAGAAACCGCACAGAGGAGAAGGCAGATGCACAAGCACGTGTAACACATGGTGCCACTGACAGTGTCCATGAGGCGAAGTGGCTGTGTGGTGACGAGGAGGCCGCGGAGGGGGAGACTGCCGGCAAGGGGAGACCTCCGAGGAGATGCGAACAGCTGCCGCGTGGCGGGTGGGCTGCGTGGGCCAGGTTGTCGCTGTCTTCATCAGCCCCAGTGAGAATGCTGTGAAAGCTGGGGTCTAGCACCTGCATGAGACTGCGCTGGGGTCCCGGGGGGTGTGGGTGTGTACTGGGCACAGAGTCGGCCCAGCCGAGGGCACCTTGTGCAGCCCAGCGCCTGCCCCGGCCTTGAAGCCCGTGCACGAATCGTTTGTCTGGGAACCCCCGGCCTCCTCGGCGGTCTGTTTTTCCCCAGGGCCCCGGCTGCTCTCTGCAGCCTTAGAGACGGCACCGAGAGTGTCCGGGGTGCAAGTGTGCATCTGGTTCCCTACAGCGTGGCGGCATCCCAGGGCCAGTTCTGGGCAGCTTGCTGCTGGGGCAGGGCCACATCCTGGAGTTGGTTAGGACGCCCCTAAAGATGCAGGCCCTTGAGGCCCCGCGAGGGCCCAACTTTCACCCACTTGTAGGACATTTAACTGCCAAACCCCGTCCCCGCCGCTTCCATCTGCCCAGCTGAAGCTAAGCTGCGTCTGCGCATACACCACAGGAGTGGCATGCTCCCCGTGTGCCGTCCGTCCAGTCTTGTGGCCCGGAAGCTTCCTTCTCTTGCCTGGGTTCCACAGGGTCAGAATTCCCCACGGGGATGCTGCGGGGTCTGGGCCCCCACAGCCTGGCAGGCAGACTAGGGGGCTGCGGCTCTACGCAGGAGAGGTGACTTCCGCCTTGTGAGTGACAGCTTCCAGGACAGTTGCCAGATGGCGGGAGGGTGGACCCCCCAACACCAGCCCCCACATGTGGGGTCCTGCCTAGAACATGGGCTCTGCAGTGCGGGCCCCACACAGCGACGCCCTCATCCGCACCTGTGGGCTGGTCGTCACCAGGCTGCCGTGTGCCTGACGTGAGCACACGAGGGCCGGGAGTGGGTGGCCAGCTCTGCACACCGTCGTGGCCCCTGCTGGCCCTGTCTCCTGGCTGGGTCCCGGGCCTCACATCTGGAGTGGGGCCGGCGATGCCATGTGGTTGTCCCATGGAGCTGGGTCCTCCAGGGTCAATGCCGGGGTCCCGGTGACCCTTGTGAGTACAGCCTGCACCCCTGCCGAAGGCGATCTTTGGTGATTGGACCCGACCAGCCTGAGGATGTGGCACTATCCCAGGCCGAGACCCAGGAGGGGCTTCGGTGCCTGCATGGCAGGGGCCCTCTGGGGACCGCCCTGCTGTGTGCGCAGGCTCCGCCCCGCTCCTCCCTGGTCCTGGTGGCAGGTGGGGGAGGGCAGTGCTTCCTGCCGGCTGTGCCTTCCAGGAGGGATGCCGGCACTCGTGCCAAGCCACGCCGTGAGACTAGCCTCGCCTTGCCAAGGGCTCCAGGGCCGGCCTGAGCCACCGCGCTGCTTGTTCTGGGCCTTGGGGTGCAGCGTCCCCACGGGCAGGGTGTCACTAGCTGAGTAGAGCCACAGGCCTGATGTGGGGGCCCAGGGAGGAGCAGGCTGCTGGCTTCCAGGGCAGGCGGCTTGCAGCCTCCACTCACAGGACTGGCAGAGTGGCCTGGGCTACACGCTGGCCCCCCGGTGCCCAGGGTAGGGGAGTCAGTCTACACCAGGCCGGAGGTGACTGTGACCTTAGCCCCGAAGGCAGAGGGCAGCCTGCGGGACTTGCACCCTGGCCGTGCTTGGACCCCGTGTCCCTGTCTGCTTGGCCGCCTGGCGCCTGGCGTGGGAAGACCTCCGTGTACTGCATTCACACGTGGCCCTGTCCACTGCCAGGACCCACGCCCAGCACAGAGCTCGGAGTCCTGGTTGGAGGCAGGAGTGGAGGTTCGGGGGAAACCAGGGTGGCCCTGGCCCTGGCCCTGGCTCCTCAGCAGGTTCCCGGGGCTGCCCCAAGTGTCCCTGGAGGCTGGAGCCTGCCGGGTGGCCCCGGGCTGAGGGCCCTTCTGCTCACCCACTGCCCCCGCAGTGAGCATGACCTGGGCGAGGACATCTACGACTGCGTCCCGTGCGAGGAGGACGGCGATGACATCTACGAGGACATCATCAAGGTGGAGGTGCAGCAGCCCATGGTGAGCCAGCGCCTGCCCTCGCCCCGTGCGGCCGGCCCCGCTTCTGTGGGACAGCGGCCCCAGGCTCAGGCATCGAGGAGGACACGCAGGGTGGATGTGACCCGGTGCCCTGTGGGCGGGCTGCTGTGGAGCTTCCCTTGGAAGCTTCAGGGTTCGAGTCCCGCCCGGAGCAGGCGCTGCCGCCAGCCCAGCGCCGCGAGGCTCATTCTGCCTGCCCCTTTGTGTGGCGCTCGAGGAGCCCGGCGGGGGCTCAATTAGCCAGCTGCGGCTTTGTGCTGTGAGGACTTGCATTTCCGCACAGGCGTTGTCTAATGAGCTCTCGGACGCCAAGTTGCTTGGTGCGGGTTTTTTGGCAACAGCTGCTTGGGGAAGGTGGGTCCGGCGGGCGGGCTGTGGGGGACACAACCTCCTTGGACCCCATGCTTCCAGAGGGTGGGCGTGCAGGCCCCTTGCCAACCAACCGTGGAGGCTTGGATCCCCTTGTACTCCCTGAAAACCCGAGAGGTTTCTCAAAAAGCAAATGGTGTGGTAGAGGCGTCATTGGTGGGTGGGGGAGAAAGGAGCTAGAGGGGTGTCCTCGAAGAAGGGAGGGAGCGCAGGGGTCTCCCACTCCCTGCAGTCTCCCTTGAGAGGGAGTCTCGTTTTGTGTTGAAGATCTAAAGCTCTCCTGCAGGCTTTCTAGGGGAGCCCTGCGGGTGTCTCTGCTCCCCTCTCCTCCTGGGTTGTCTCGTGGGGTGCTGGAGACCCCCTCCCCCATGCTGCCCCAAAAGGACCTGCTGGGCCCCACCACGCCTTGTTTGGTCAGCAGGGCCACTTCCCTCCTGATCCCTTGTGTGCAGGCATCCTGGGGACGACCTGAGCGCACAGAGGCAGCAGCCTCGACAGAATTTGGGGCGTCCCCACCCCAGGCTGTGCATGCTTTCTCTGCACCCCCCACCCCCAGCTATACCACTGCTGGTCTGGTCCTGACGTGCAGGTGAAGGACGTGGGTTGTCCTGTCCCTGGCACACAGCGCTCCCAACCTTTCCCGTGGCCTGTCCGACAGCTGGGTGGGAGCTGGGTGGACACGCGGGTCCCCACACCGGGCTTGAGCCCAGTAGCAGCTCTGATACTTGCTCTCTTCACCCTCCACGCTCTCAGATCAGGTACATGCAGGTGAGTGGCAGGTAAGGGGCCTGGAGGGGCCCAAAACGCTGTCAGCCTCGTCTTCCGGTGGCCCCAGACCCCTCGGAACAAGCGCGGGCACCATTCCCTGGGGCCTGTCAGGTGTGTGGGGTGGCAGGGGTCATGGCCCAAGGCAGCCCCCACAAAGCCCAGGTCGCAGCTCCCTCTTGCACGCTGCTCTGGAGCTGGGGCTCAGCACGGGGCCCCTGGGGTGTCTCCTGAAGGTGGCGTGGGCATAACTGCCGGCAGCTATTGGGAAAGGGCTGGGTGCACGTCCCAGGGCTGCACACCCTGCTCTGTCTCGTTCAGCCTGTGGACCGTAAGGAGAGTGCTGGGAAGCCACCCACCCTGGCTGTCACCCATGATGGCCTGTGGGTGTGGTTCCCAGGGTGGCCAGTGCCACCAGCTCAGTGGGGCTGCCTCTTGGGGCCACTGGAGACTCTAGGGTCAGCATGGGGGGCAGGAGCCTAGAACCCTACGTGTCATAGCTCTGCCCCTTCTTGTGCCTTAGGAGGGACTGGGTCCCCTCTGTCCCCAGCCACTTTACACTTGGTGACCTCTCAGGCCCCCTAGAAGTGCCCTTGTGTGGGTGGGAGACTGAGGCTTTGTGTGTGACATGCAGGGTGGCTGGGCAGGGTGGCCCGGGCTCAGGTCCTGCATCTTCCCTAGAAAATGGGCATGACGGAGGATGACAAAAGGAGCTGCTGCCTGCTGGAGATTCAGGAGACGGAGGCCAAGTACTACCGGACTCTGGAGGATATCGAGAAGGTGCGGCAGCCTTGGTCTGGGGGTGGCAGCTGGTGTCCTAGCACATGCGAAGACCAGGCCAGGAACCAGGGTAGCCGCACCAGGGGGTAGGGCTTGGCAACCCTCAGCCTCACCAGTGGGCACCTCCACGCCAAGAGGCCACCTTCCCCCGCAGTCCTGCACATCTCCTTCCCATCTTCCATCCTGGTCGTCACTGTGGCTTCTGCCCGCAGCTGCACTGGGCTGGGCATGGTGCCAGCCCCTGTCTGTGCCCATCTCCGGGCCACTCTCAGCTCTGCACTCTGGCTCCCCACTCTGAGTGGAGGCCTGGATGCAGTGGCCATACTCTAGACGGCCAGGATGTCCTGCAGTGGGCTGTGGTCAGGTCACAGGACATGGGTGCAGGCCCTGTCCCCTGCCCCACCCACCAGACCTTCGGTGCTTGTGGAGCACAAAGACCAAGGCCGTTTCCCAGCTAGAGCCCAGCTGGCTGCCTGGAGTGGCGGTGTGGTGTGTGGAGACCAGTGGGGCCATGATGGGGCCTCGCAGCTGGGGTGTGGGCAGCGTCCAGCCCAGAGCCCTGGTCGCCAGCTGGCCCTTCTCTAGCCTCCCTGAAGCTTTGCTTGGGCCACAGGGCTGAAGGTTTGGGCCCTGGCTCAGCCCCCCTGTCCAGCAGGCCCCACCAGCGTGCCTCCCCTGGGCAGGGTCACCGTGGGCTTGGCAGTGACGAGGTGGCAGTGTGGGCTTCTGTCTTCCAGAACTACATGGGCCCCCTGCGGCTGGTGCTGAGCCCGGCAGACATGGCGAGCGTGTTCATCAATCTGGAGGTGAGTGTTCCGGCTCTGGCCCCTGCTCGCGGCACCCTGCCGAGCTGCCAGCCCTGGGGACCTCAGCCGTGTCCCTGGCAGTCCCACGGCTGACAGGTCTGGGGATTGCAGCACCTCTCTGTGGGGACTCTGGCTTCGGGATACGGTGGGATGAGGTTTGTGGGCTCCGCACCAGAGGTTTCTGCGCCTCTTTGTGCTGGGCAAGGAGGCACTGACATCCCTAGGGTGGGTTGATGCTCCAGGGCAGCGGGGCCAGCAAGTTCCTCACTCCTTGGCCGTGTCTGAGCACGTGTAAAGTAGGAGCCCCTGCGTGGTGTGCCATGTTGTCTTGGATTAGGCAGTGGCTCAAACCCCCACCACTTCCTATCAGCTTGAGGGTACCCGAGCTTGCTGCCCTGGATGGGCCTCACCCAGACCCCGGAGCTCCCCGCTCTGTGCCCAACCTGCTGTGAGCCGTGGCCAGGACAGGTGACCATACACAGGACGGAAGCGGGGCAGGAAGTCAGGAACCCAGGCTGCCCCCGGCCGTCATCTGCTGACATGTGGGGCCACCCGGCTTCCGGGCTGCCGCCCGCCCTGACTGCAGAGCCTCGAGCTGGCTGCACAGAGCCCTGGGCTCCGCGAGCAGCCATGAGGACACGGAGTGCTGCCTTCTCGGCCTCCACTGGCCCTGAGCCACAGTGTCCCTACAGCTGGCGTGGCCTGTGGGCAGCTGCCCTCCTGCTCTGTCAGGTTCTGAATGTGCTCTGGCTCCTGCGGCCTGTGCCTGAGGGCCACAGGCGTCCTGGGGTCAGGGTGCAGGCCCAGTGTGCAGCCTCTCAGCCCCCCATGCGGGCATCTGGAGGGCAGCAGCAGGTGCCATGTGGTGCGCTGACCAGCCCGCTCCATGCAGGACCTCATCAAGGTGCACCACAGCTTCCTGCGGGCCATCGACGTGGCCATGATGGCGGGAGGTGGCACCCTGGCCAAGGTCTTCCTGGAGTTCAAGGAGAGGTGAGTGAGAGCGACCGGTCTCAGGAGGGCATGTGGGTCGCAGGTGGTAGAGATAGCAGGGCAAGTGCTGTTGTCCTGCAGACCCTGTGAGCTTGGAGACCATGGAGGGTCACCTCCTGGCATGGCCTGGACCAGAATCACTGGACGCGATACTGGACACCCCCGGTTTAGCAGAGGAGGGGTTCATGTTGGCTCCCGATCAGAAGTTTCAGTCCTTGCACGGTGGTGGGTGTGGAAGGGTCTGCGTGGAGGAGAACTGCTCACCTGACCATGCTCGGGAGGCAGCCGGGGAGGGAGGAGCCTGGCAGGAGAGGACGCCAGGCCACGCCCCCAGCGGCCCCTTCTTCCCAAGGTCACGCTTCTGTGGCCGGCGATCCAATCATCCTTCAATCCCAGGCTCCAGGGCCCTCCTGGATCTGAAGCGCAAGAGGGGGCTCTGAGCCCTGAAAGCCCCCTCCACCCCTTGCTCCCTGATCTTGGTGGCTGGCGTGGTGCTGTTGCAGCGCACCGCTCTGGGCCCTTGTCTGCTGAGGCCTCGGGCACATGCCCCGGGGAGCCCGCTGCTGGCCATGGCGTTTTCTGGAAGCAGTGGGCACCCTGCCTGCCTCCGGAGACACCTCTGCACAGAGGCACAGGGTTGTCACCAGCCTCTCACTTCCAACATGGCAGCCAAGTCTGGGTCTGCAGGTGCCTGTCAGGGAGTCCTGGGGTCCACACAGCCCATGGCTCTGTAGTGAGGATCCCGAGGAACAGCTGATGGCAGCAAACCCAGGGGGGCAACAGTGAGCCCAGAGGGAAGGCAGTGTGGGGACTTGATGGGGGGTCTGCTTCAACCACCTGGCTCCTGCTCCGTGTTGTTCCCCCTGGGGCCTGGAGTCACAGGCTGGGGCAGGGCGTGGTGGCTTGAGGACCTGGGCACGGGGTGAGGAGCAGGTGGTCGGCTTGCCTGGCATAGGGCGTGGGCGGCTATGGCGTGTCCCTATCCACACGGGGACAGCCTGAATGTGGCAGGGCCCAGTAACCACGTAGCCAGCTCTTGTCCAGCTTATTTTCCAGGCTGGCCACTGGCTGCTGACTGACCCTTTGCGAAGCTTCTCTCCTCCCTTGCTGGGGGCCTCAGTGGCCTTTGTTCTGTACTTTAGAAGGGGAAAGTGGCCCTACAGGTGGGGGATTGTAATCAAGTTTTGTATTAAAATTCTTAATTTAGGAACAGACTCACTTAAGGAGAATGAAAAGCCCGAGTCTCAATTAGCGAGGCTGGAGAGCAACCTGCACCCATGCTGTCGGGCAGGGAGGCCACGCTGTGTGGCCACAGGCATGGGGCCACGTGGCAGCACACCGCTGGGGAGGGGGGGGCTGACATAGTGGCTGTCTGAGGACACGCGTGGCCTTGCATCTGGGCCACTTCTGTGGCCAGCTGTTCCCTTCAGCTGCTGGTTCTTGGAGATCCCAGTAGTGGGTGACAGGGTTGTAAGCTGTCATGGCACTGTCACCTATCGTCTTTGGGGCACAGAGATGTAAAGATGAGATTGCAGGTGGTCACCCCAACCGGAGGGTGCCACCACGTAGTTTGCAAGATGCTGGCCCTCAGAGATGGAGTATGGACCCAACTGGGCACAGAGGAACTGGCATGAGGGTGGCAGGGGCTGGTCAGGCCGGCTCCAGTCACCTGGACCCCGCAGCATCCCTTGGATGGGGTGCCGGCCTGGCCCACGTTCTGGGGTTCAGGGGCTGGGACCCTGCCTGGGGAATCCCAGGACTCTGCTGCAGGCTCAACAGCGCCACCTGCAGGACACCCCTCGAGGAGTCCTCAGCGGTGCGCAGCACCTGTGAGAAGCTTGAGGCTGCCGGCCATCCTTGGCGACAGCGACAGCGCCTGCTCTTCTTCCGCTGTGGGGGGCGGGGGTGGGTGGAGACCCAGGTGTGGCCGTGGGGGAGCCATGGGCACCGTCTTGTGCCGAAGGTTTGGCTGCCCTGGCCGGGGGAGAGGAGGGTCACGGGCAGTGCAAGAGGGCGGCAGGCTGCGCAAGCGCTCGCGAAGGGCATGAGTCGCGGCGGCGGCGTGCCCTTGGTGGGTGGCGCGTGCGTGTGCGTGCGTGTGTGTGCGTGTGCGTGCGCGTGCATGTGCGTGGGTGTGTGTGCGCGCACTCCTGCTGGCGCCCTCCCCGCGACTGTGCCCGCGAGCGTCGTCCACGCACGGTGAGTCCCACGCCCGCCTGTGTCCCCGGCCCGCAGGCTCCTGATCTACGGGGAGTACTGCAGCCGCATGGAGCACGCCCAGAGCACGCTGAACCAGCTGCTGGCCAGCCGCGAGGACTTCCGGCAGAAAGTGGAGGTGAGCAGGCCTGGCGCTTCCTGTGCGCGCAGGTCAGGCCTGGCGTCCGCTTCCTCTGCGGAGCGCGCTGGCCCCGGCGCCCAGCCTGGAGAGCGCTGTGACTCTGCCCGGGTGTGGCCCTCGCCCGCTGCTGCTGACCGCCGGCTCCGGTGTCGTGGCTGGAAGCTGGGGTCCCCTGCTCCCATCCTGTCATCCCCACACCCCGCTCTGTCCATTCTTTCCTCACGAGGACCCGCTCAGGATAACCCCCGTCCCTGTCCCACGTCTGGCAGGTGTCCCTGTCTGGTGTGGACACCAGAGCCGTGCATCTGGAGCCCTGGGAGTGGCCTCAGCCCCTGTGGCTTGGGCACCTGGCAGGAGGGCGGGCAGGGCCCTGTGCTCTGAGGGGAGCCGCCAGGCAGGTGTCCAGAGTCCCCAGGTGGGAGCGGGGTGTGCCCTGCCTGTGTGGTCCCGCACACAGGCGTGGGGCCGGCTGGGGCAGGGCCAGCGCCCCCACCCCGCGGGCTCTGGTGACGGCACTCAGCCCCTGGTCCACCCCAGGAGTGCACGCTGAAGGTGCAGGACGGCAAGTTCAAGCTGCAGGACCTGCTGGTGGTGCCCATGCAGCGCGTGCTCAAGTACCACCTGCTGCTCAAGGTGAGTGCCGTGCCCTCCACGCGCGCAGTGGCGGCCCTCGGTGGCCTGAGCCCGCCTTTTGTGTGTCTGCGCATAGCACCTCACAGCTGCGCAGCCTCCTGGGAAGGGCGGTTGGGGTCACGTGCCCAGAACCAGGCTCGAGGTCAGGAAAAGCGAAGGAGAGAAGACACGTCCTCGGGCCAGGGCTGAGGGCCCACTGGTGGGTTACTTTGTATTTCCGCGAGCTCCCTGGAAGCCAGAGAGACAATGGAAAGAGGTGGGGGAGGAGGCGGGTCTCTAAGCTCTTTCGAGGTGCAGGACTCAGACAGCTGGGCGGGAGGCAGGGTGACTTTGTCCCCAGGGCTTTACTGCGTACACACCTGTACCTGGTGGGGGCCGAGGGCTGCCCAAGGGGTAATGGGGACTCCTTGTGCCCCTCAGGAGCTCCTGAGCCACTCTACTGACCGGCCAGAGAGGCAGCAGCTCAAAGAAGCACTGGAAGCCATGCAGGTGGGTAGGTAAACTGAGGCAGGAGCCCTCAGGCCAGCATGACACGTAGCACCCTGTGCTCGGGTTCCTGTGAGCTCACCACACAGCGTGGCGCAGTGGCCATGGACACGTCCCTGGGAGAGGAGGACCTGTAGCAGGGGCAGGGTGGGGTGGCCACGGTGGGGGACACTGCAGGCAGGGCACCCTGGGGTCCCCAGTCCCACCTGAGAGGACCCTGCCTCGGGCAGGAGGTGCAGGGCTGGCCCCTCCCTTCCCATTTTGGGGATTTCTATGCCACTGTCCCTGCAGCTGGGTCATGCGCTCCCCCTGCTGGCCACCACTGCTGATTTCGGGATCGTGGTGGGCACTGCCCCCTGGCGGTCTCTGGGGGCGTTGCAGTGGGCCCAAGGGCTGTCGGAAGCACCAAACTGACTGGCCTGAGGTGGGAGCAGCTGGGTTAGCCCGGGTTGTGAAGGTGAACATCACCAGGGAGGAGAGATGTGCGCTTCGATCTTTGAGCAAGGATCTGGGACAGGCGCTGCCCAGGAGCCTGCAGGCTGAGGCTGTGCTCGGCTCTGTGGCATGATGCTAGCCCGACTCCGTTTCCCCTTGTCTTGAGGGTCGGCCGCCTGGGCAGGACCAGGAGGCCCACGCCGCGGGTGGGGCACAGCCCTGAGGCCCGGTGTTGCTTTCCAGGACTTGGCGATGTACATCAACGAGGTGAAGCGGGACAAGGAGACCCTGAAGAAGATCAGCGAGTTCCAGAGCTCCATTGAGAACCTGGTGAGCGTGGTGACCGGCCGTCACTGCAGGGACAGTGGGCGGGACGTGGCTGCAGGGACAGTGGG